GTGGACGTGGCAATTAGACCATCCGAACTTTCGAGGTGACGCGATTGGCTATTCGGGGATTCAAGATCAGTGCGTCAAATACGACATCCGCCGGTCATTCTGTATACTTTTCACATGAAATATCCGCCAGTCATCCTGTATATTTTTCACGTACAACGCATCTGCCGGTCATTCTGTATACTTTACACATATAATATCCGCCAGTCATCCTGTATATTTACACATATAATATCCGCCAGTCTCGCAGCTATTCTGTTGTTGTCTGCAGGGAACAATATTGTCGGAGCCGCTCGTCATTTTTCCTTATGATCAGATGAGATTCTCACGTAATTAAATTGCTTCGGTGATTAGCAAGACAAAATAATAAATTGTCTGAACAAGATTATATTGGCCAGACGAGGCGTAAACTTACGCGTCTTAGAGTGGATAAAACAAGCTGGGGTCGGCCAATCTCAAAGACTTTATTATTTATATAATTTCAACATTATTCCTGCGAACGATTGAGAAATCGTTCACGATATTCTTTACAGACTTTTTGTTGTATACTGAAGTCTATTGGCTCAACATTCACTAATGTTAGCCCTGTAAATAGTAGATAGGACGTTTTCTATTGTTTCTATTGTTCATTAAGCTAAGCCTCGTCTTCACCGACGAGTCACTCTCGTGTAGACCTGCCTTGAATAAACTTGTGTTCTCTGCCCTGGTCTCTGCCCTCTACCACTGGTGTTACACGGGATTTAGTCCCAGCTTCGTAATTAAGGATTTTACACTTTTATTACTGTTGTTCTCAATTTCTTTATCAGGGTGGCAAATTGTACATATTCGTGTTGATGAACTCACAGTGAGGCCGGTTGAATCACATAAACTTCCGACCTTCTCTGCTTCAGAGAGAAGTGGCGAGGGCGGTTGAGTTTGTCGCTAAGGCAGTCGTGTCCTGCGAGCCGATCAGCAACAGTTATTTGATTGTGCCAATATTGTGGCAGCTACTGACTAAGTTATGCTGATACGGTTTCTGCTCCTGTTTCCGCAGTGTGCCCTCTCTCTTACTGGACTGTATTTACCAGCCATCAGCTTTGTTGCTTTGTGTTAAACTATATCTGAATTAAGTTCTTAGAGTAGTAGCTAGTGTGAGTTAAATAAAAGTGTTTTAAATTCCAGTGTTGACTGGAAAACTGTGTTTCGTTACATCAATAGTTCTGAGAGAACTACCTAGAGATTACGTTCGTGACTGACGTTCCGCCCTTTTTGTGGTGGCCATCTTTGACGTTTGGAACGTCCGGTCACATTCCTTAAGCTCTATAATACAATTAAAAGTATATGCATCAAGACGATATACAATTACGCCGCAAAAATTGCTGTGATTGATCCGAGGTATTCCGTTTGTAGCTCTGATTTTGATTATAATTTGATTGTTACTCTATTTCTCAAATGAGAAATTTCTCATTTCTCTCTGTAGCGCAATTTCTCAAATTAAGTTTACACTGAAAAAATAAATACAACGAGAAGATTAATTTTTTCTAGACAGAAAGATACTGTGAATATATTCTAATTGTGTGTCTCGCATCGCAAAAACATCATGTTAGAGCAGTCACGATAAATTAGAAATGCAAATTCACTGCATTCAAATGAGGAAAATAAGACAATTCACATTATTCTGAGAAATATGAATAATTTCGGCGCTCCTCTGTTGTGCAGCTCATGTTTTTATTAATATTTACAATTAAAGGTTTTAAAATCACTTAATCAGTCTGGTCAAAATTTCAAAATCAAAGAACTCACAAATGTTAAATACCTATCTTTTTGATTGCTGATAAGTTCTGGAGGTATTAAAGGAATGGCTATTGCCTAAAATGTTTAATAAATAAAATACGGCCCGGTATTACACTTCATTCGTAAGGGAAACCTGGAATGAACTTCAGAAGTTCAGAATAGATATTATTTTGCTATGAATTATTTATTACGCTTCAAGAAAAATGCCAGCAAATTATAATATATATCTTATCGTAAATCGTAATGATTGCTCTTGAACAGGTATCGCTATGATTACGGATTTCTGTCCATGCTGGGCGAAAATGACAAATTTTCTTTTTCATTTCTTTAAGCTTTGATTAATTAATTCGAAATAACCGACATTGGAATCGTCAGTGATATTGCAGACTTTTTTGTAGTATTACATAATTTTCTAGCAGTCGGAAACTATAAAGAGTCTCAATTAATTTTTTCCACACACTTTCCATCTAATTTGTTCACGGAAGCGGAATTCAAAGAAGCTGAAGCTTCAAGCTTCGAGTCTTTTTCTAAAAATTCATCAATAATACAATTCAATTCTGTCAAGTTCAATAAGTAAGGTTGAAAAATACTTACTGACAGATTATTTTACATGATTTATCTAGCCGTATTTCAGAAATTTTAATTTTATTTTGCTTATTGAATCAGATATTACATTACATTTCGTGGTCTTATACATCAAATTCTGGCACTATGAATCTTATTGGCGTGGCCGATAAGCTTGAAGTTACGTTAACGTGGGAGGTGCCTGAGTGGAAACTGGGTCGATCTTTTGGAAGTTATTACATGACTTACGATTTATTGTATTCATTTAGTACGATTATTTCAGTTCATTTTTACTCATAAGTTGCCTCGGGAAAGTATTACTAAATATTTCAGTAGGATTCCGGCTTTTAATATTGTAGCAGAAAAACAAAAAAAAATAAAAAATTTAAAAATATTTGACAGAAGTATATCAATCCCGAATAAATCTGTTTAAAATAAACAATATTGTTAGAAATCAAATAACGTTGATGACTATCTTAACTTAGATTAAAAATTGCCATAAACATCGTTACGAACATATTTTTCGAGGTAATACTTTGAATATATATACCATATATAAAATTATTTGTCAAACAAATCAAAATTGAAAAATAGTTTTCGTAACAAGTTGTATTGGCCAAACGAGTGTTTGGTTTATAGCAGCAGCTGTGCATTTGAGCAGCTGTAGATTAGCATAATGCAGCGCTGCCGCCGTCAAACTTTGCCAGAACTTTTATGGAACTTTCGTCGCTGCGGCAATACCAGAAGTTATGGCTCCTTTTACCTTTTAAAATGATCCTCGGGCTATAAAATGTTTTTCAGGGAAGAAAAATTAAAGAAATGGTTTTTAGGAAAGAAAACGCAGCTGTTTTGGATTAGGACATAATTTTGGAAGACAAAAAAATGTCATCGATGCATCTGCTTTGAGAAAGTTAAATAAAAGTAATCGATAATGAAAAAAGTTAGGCATAAGGTGAATAGAAAGGTCAATTTGTAAATTTAAATACCATAAAATTATTTATGGATCCATTCTGGGAGAACTCCGTTAAATTTGAAAATATGGCGAGAAAAAATATTGTACATATATACTCGGAAATGGAACTTGGTTTGTTAGACATTTGGGAAGTTGCGAAGAATTTTTTTCATGTGATAATACTTAAAAAGGCGTTTTTAAATGCATGAATAAGTGTTGAGTAGGTTAATATGTGAACAATGGTTTAAATATTCCGTCACAGCATGCCAGTTCGAATCGAGCGAAGTCGACTTACTCACATAATTATATATGGGTTTTGGAACAGCCCGCTTATGGGTTATACATTATATTTGTAAAATGCCTTTGTGTATTTAAAAAAAACAATAATGATTTCCGAAGACATCTTAATTTCCAAATTTTTAAAGTCTATTTTTAACTTCCATTGCTACCACATTCAACTCTGACCTCTGACCCGACCATGCTAAACATGGGATGCAGCCATAGATGACATCAATAAGGATGCAAATGTCATCTCGTTGTATGGGAGAGAACTGCAAATGTGTTTATGTCAGTCTTTTTAGCGCATTTTCTCATTTATGGAAAAAATGCACTATTGTGCTCGCCATGTCCGTCCGTCCGTCCGTCTGTCCGTCCGTGACTTCAAGTTTTTGTCGACGAGAAAATGCGCTCTCTGTCACTCACTGCAGTGAGTACTGAGTTATATTTTTTAATGCTAGTCAGCTCTGATTGATGCAAATTAGCTTTAATTTATGTTATTAATCCCTGACTGACAATTCATTCATGACAGCTGTCATTAATGCTAGTCAGCCCTGACTGATATTTGATGCTAATCAAGAACCTCTTGGCTAGCACTAAAATGTTTCTGAAACTACTTTTGAACAATCCCTTTCCCCTTGCCTGTGTTGAACTGATTATCGGCAGCCCCGCTTAAGTGTTTAATCAATGTTGTCTGCATTGCTCGTGAAAATTAACCCTCTATACCGCCGTGTGTCACTCTCCGGGAACATAACTTAATTAACTTTCAATGTAAATTACACGTAAACTATTGAGTGTAGCAACCTAACGACGTTTGTACGCAACAGAGAACATTTTAAAGTTGTCGTACGTGGCAGCAACCATCAGTGCAAGTCATTTTGCGCTCACTAGAACGTATCCTTTTTGGGAAGTAGGAGCGTGACAATATTGCTCCGGTTACTCATGTCGGGCGGTAGAGGGTTAATTCATTTCTACAGACACTCTCTCAGTAGTCGACGAGAGAAATCTCGTATGGCATTATCTTGAAACTAAAGGTCAAAAGAACATAATTTTCACCCCATCCTATTAAGTATTTTATTCGAAAATCACAGGTAAATGACACCTACATTAAAATTTGTTCATATTCGTACGGTCAATTCTTATGAAAATTCTTTGGTCTAAGAAAATTGAATGGTCTAAGACTTAATACCTTAGCTTTTAATCTTTTATATGTTATGTCACTTGCATATATTTCTTCACACATGACAAATTTTACATTTATATGCCATTTACTAGATTCCTCGCCTGACTTTCATACACTCACCCTCTGTTCATTTCTGCTTGCTGATTTTCCTGATCCGCACCCTTCGTTTTTCTTGTTCCAAGGGATGAATGGACCGGAAAATTCAAGAATCTCCGAGCCAGGATACGCTGCGGACGATGTTGAGCGACTTAACCTCTATTGGCGGAGGGTTTGGCTGACGCTGGGCGAGGGTTTGGCTGATGCTGGGCGAGGTTTGGCTGATGCTGGGCGAGGGTTTGGCTGATGCTGGCGAGCGTTGGCTGATGCTGGGCGAGGGTTTGGCTGATGCTGGGCGAGGGTTTGGCTGATGCTGGCGATCGTTAGCTGATTCTGGGCGAGGGCTTGGCTGATGCTGGGCGAGGGCTTGGCTGAGGCTGGGCGAGGGCTTGGCTGATGCTGGGCGAGGGTTTGGCTGATGCTGGGCGAGGGCTTGGCCGATGCTGAGCGAGGGTTTGACTGATGCTGGGCGAGGGCTCGGTTAATGCTTGGCGATGGTTTGGCTGATGCTGGTCGAGGATTTGGCCGATTATGGACGAGGGCTTGGCCAATGCTGCGAGGGTATGGCCGATGCTGGCTGAAGGACTGGCTGATGCTGGACGAGAATACGACCTCATTTCCCTGGCGGGAGAGGCGAATAATTTCACGACATGCGCCCATAAAAATGCTCTATTCATCGCCTCCTCACGTCAGCAAGGGCAAGAAATTTGTCGCCGTCAGACATGATCACAATATGCAACAATAACGTGCTTCATTTGAACATAACTAAAATGTATACTAGTTGAAGATATTGTTCAGTGGTGTTTCAAATTAATAATACGTACAAGGCTTTGGTTCCTGCATAAGTAAAGCCCGATTATATAGCTGTTTAAATCCTCGTACTACTCTGAACACAGTAGTAGAGTTCAACATGTTTGCATCTCATTGTTTACATCATCTTATTTTGTGACGAAAAAGCGAAAAATATAATAAGTTAACTATTAGTAATAATAAATCCATAATAGTACTATCAGGAGTAATTCATCAAGTTGAACGATGATAAATGAAAATGTTGACTAACTAACAACTGACGTTAATAATGATAAACTTATATAACTGGAAAATGATTTTCGAGTTATAGGGAGCATAAAATTTTGTACAAAAGCCGTTTTCATTGATATTGAATCATAATTTACCTACTACATTGAAGGATATGTTTTAAGCCGGAAGTATTAACGAAGGAGTCATTGAAACTCTCTAGCCAATAATTTTAAATCAATGAACCAAACAATGGCAAAAAAATTATATACGAAGAAGGACCCAAAAGAGATTATACGAAGATTATTAATTATATACGAAGAAGGACAGAAACGGATTTCCTTTCAACAAAACCAAACTGTTTAGGTTTTTAAAACAGAATAAAAGGTAACCATTAATCCGTTAGGCTGTATAAGAAACCCAGCAGACAACGTCAGGTTGAAGAAACGTTTAAACAGCGAACTTCGCGATGTTGAAATAAGGTTGAATATTCTTCCAGAATGAATCAACCTCGTTTATCAACTTCTTACATTTCAACGTTGTTTCAACGTTGGCATCGCGTGAATACTGCGACATTGTAAAGGATAGAAATAGTTTGTTATTTTAATGTTATGCGAGGCGATAATTTTTGTTCCAAAATGGTTTATTATTTTGAATTTGTCATTTTAGTTTAGAGTTTACGGAAGGCTAAGTGCGGAAGGAGAAGGTGATAAGATTATTCTGTCGTGGAAAGCCGGAGCGGAGGTAAGGCTGTGACGTAAAGGCGCTGTTATGTCGGGCGCTTATTTTCAAAAGCCGCGAATACGCCAGGCTGTGTATAATACAAGCACGCAACAGTTTGGCTATTTGCCCACGGCTCTTGCTTCGGTGGCTTGATGTCAGTTGGCTGATTGATTCATATCCAGGAAAGGAAATGACACCTATGGCTTTAGGCACTTAATCACACAGGCTAATATGCCCTCTAGCGTGATTACGAGCGGAAAGGAATAGATATTGAATTGTGGGCAAGGGCTATGTAGGGGTCTATACTGCGTGCTGCCATTCGACGACGACGTTTTTTCCCTCTGAATTAAGGTCAGGTGGAAGCAAGGTTTGCGTCTCTGCAGAGAAATTTCAGAAAATACGTGTTTATAAAAGTGTCTTTTGGACGAGTATAGAAATTTCATGAATGGTTTGTTACGAAGGAATTATATTGAGAACGTGCCTGGATAGCAAAATTCCAGTTCATGACGGTAAGGTGTGGTATCTAACCCACGTTTCGGTCTATCATATAGGAAGAAGAAGAAAATAAGAGTGATTTTTGATTGTTCATTAAAATTCAGTGGAGCATCTTTGAATGATAAGCTGATGAAGGGCCCAGACTTGACAAATAACTTAACTGGAGTTGTCCTGCGTTTCAGGGAGAATTCTTGCGCATTTACTGCCGACATAGAACAGAATAGAGTACCCTGCAAACACGCAAACTTTTCAAGATTTCTTTGGATTGACGAGTCAGCTGGTTTGATTTCTGAGTATCTCCCCAAAATCCACGTTTTTAGTGCTCGTATTTCACCAAGCGTTGCCAATTTTGCCCTAAGACAGGCCGCCGTTGATTTTTCAACCGACCTGCAAACCACAATTGCGATTTTTCATAATTCCTACAAGACGACGTTCTTAAATCGGTCACAAGTGCCGAAAATGCTATCCATTGGATGCCGCCTCCAGCAGTTGTTATTGTTTACTGTGCATGAACACCGACCCAGGATTAAATGACATTTTGTAAAAACCGTGCACACTTATAAACAATTTCCCATGAATTAAAATTGATAAAATTAATCTTTAATAACTGATATACATAGCAAAAGATGAGTGCTCATTTAACTCACTTAAATTTGGCATTTGGGCATAAATTTGGCATTGATTTGTTTGAAGAGTTAAATGAATCAAAATACACATCCCCACGAATGTTTCACTTGCATAACATGGGAAAGACCAGCAATTTTTTGCTTATTCATTTTTTCACCGGGGAAACCCAATTATTTTCAACTAGCAAGACTCGCTCGTTCATACGCTGATTCCCCCAATTGCGATCTCTTCATGGGTTAGGAGAAATTATCCTGAAATGTTTGCCGTAAAGGTCAGTCTGCATTGATATTAGTTGGTTTCAACACCAATATTTTCTTCAAATCGGAAAAACCTGAATCTGTAAACCAAATGAAGAACAACATTGAAGTCTAATTAGGACGAGAAAATGCTTTGCAGCTTCTTTCCGAATTGTTTTCAATAAATTTATGATAACTTTTGTTTAACTGATGTCTCAGGAGCGCTGGTTCAGATTTATCATCACTATGGTGTGTAATGAAATATTTCATATGACCACTGGTATGTTCTGTTGATTGGCTTGAAATTAAACTAATAATTTGGAGGTAAAGACAATTCCACAAACAATCGGCCGATATTCACAAAAAAACTCTCAAACATACAAAGGCCAATGATGGCATCCATAGGCAGTAAAATCCAAAGGCAAATGATATTTGGAGGCCTTTTATTCGACTTATAAATTCCTTGCTGGGATTGGTATCAGATTACCATACTAAGATGATGCATTTTACTTTACAATACCAAGATGATATACATTTCTCTTGCCCTCTCCGGAAGCACGCCCTAAAAACATGGACGCTCGCTGGTCTAGCTTGGATGTGGTCTTCAGTGCAGCGCAATATGCTCAGGAGCTTGTATTTTTCTGGATATGTACTAATTTCACTTATTTTTAGCAGCCTCGACGTTCGGAAATAGCAATCCTAATTATTTCATTGCCATAATCAACAAAATTAGCTAATGACTTACCAACAGAATATGAACTACACTTCATAACGGAAGCACAGGAGTCAATTCTGAATAGTTAAATGTTGGATTATTTACCGTAGACTTTTGACAAGAAATGTAGACAATCAATTTCAATCAATGTAGACAATCAATTTTAACAATGCATTTTTAAAACATAAATTCAAGCATTGCAATTTTCATTTTAATCAAATGGCCTATGGCAGTTCTATAGTTGAAAATGTACGCGCTACATTATAACCAAGTAAAACGTGCAATTTGAATCAAACTCAATACTGATAATAGTCAAATGAGGGTAAAATATTAATAAGTTTCGCTCGTCGAGATTATAAAATCAGCTCGATGTTTCTAAATTGATACAAAGGACAGTTTTGCAACCACCATTAATATTTTAAAAATGCAAAATCCTTGTCTTAGAAATTCGTTCGCGACTCTAAACTAAATAGGCCAACTAAAGATGAGACTACATTAATTCACTGCTAAATTTGTGTAGAGTTTGGAAGAGAAACATCAAAAATATTTTTGCTGATTACATGTGCTCATAAATTTCCACGACTGTTCGAGCTTCTATTAAATTCACCTAAAAACGATATTTGCTCAAATATTTTTCAGGCAACAATGATTCTGAGATTTTCTTCTATTATTCATGAAGTGCTCATGAGTCATGGCAGAATATAATTTTGTTAACAGTAATTTTTTCAGAAATGGTTTGCCAAGATGTGCGAGCTGGAGTTCTTCGTTGTTATCAACCCTGAATGAACGAATGCGGCGAATTTAAAACAGTATCGCTTATTTTAACTGATTTTTAGTGACTATTTTTACGCTATAAATAATTTAGAGAGAGATAATTGTGAGCTTTCAATAGATGCAAAAAATGAATGATACAATTCAATTTCGAAAAAATTGTTATTGGATCTCAGTCTCTGCTCGTTGCAGGACGCACTTGAAATGCGTCATATGGAATCTAGATTAGCAAACCTCCAAGTCAGGTTTCACGTGTCTAGTAACATCAATTGATCGATGACGATAAATCAGACTTGAAGTGCAACAGCGGCAAGCGTTACTGATGAAGTGTATAAATTAATAATATTAGCTGCACTATGCCAAGATATGTAGCTGCGAATACATTGATTTATGAAATATTCACAAAGTTGAACTGTGAAAATTCAACTTTCTTTTCAATTTTTCTAAGCCTTCACGGAAAGTTTGATGGAAATCTATCTACATTATAATGAACAAAATTCTTCTATAAGGAAAGAAATATCAAAATTTAAAAAAAAATAAGGTTAAAAAATATCACAATTATCATGAAATGTATTCGAGATACAATAGTTAGAGACTATTTACCTGTTTTTCCTCATGTAAAGAAAAATCGAACCAGAATATTTTTCAATTGATTATACGAGTACGAGTACGTACGAGTAAACGCATAAAGTATGGCGGTAAAGACCCGATTTTTAACCACAAGCGCTCTCATCATAAGGTTATGACTAGAGTTTGCTGGAGTATTAATCAAGTTCATAACTGTGCGAAAGTTTGCTTAAGTTAAATTACGCCGTCAATGTCGAAATATTGACGTAAGCATACCCACATTACTGCCGAGATGAAAGATTTTAGTCATTATGGCATGAGCTTCGCCCTCACTTGGTAGCTTGCTGAGAGAACGCATAATTCTAGAATTTTTCCTGAATATATAAATTTCTTATAAAGAAACTAAGCTTGTAAGAAGATTATAACCCGTAGAGAAAATAATTTAAAAAAATAAGCTCATGAATCACAAGAAAAGCTCAAGATTCACTAGGAAAAACTCTCTGTTTTCTATATAAAAGATTTAATTCACAGAAATCCAGTAAAAGTTGAACCTTTCTAACATAATAACTTCCG